CTTTTTTTTTTTTTTTTTTTTTGGCGCATCGCTAGTGGCAGAGATGCAGCGAAGCGCAGTGCACACCATCTCAAGCATTAACATTTTGTAACTTGCGCTAATGGAGCAGAAAACTCGTCAGGTTAGCTTCGCGAGCACTTGATTGTTGTTCCAGATTTAGAATAGACAGCTGATACGTCGTCCATCCGTCTAAAAGCATAAGGCAAGCGTACGCATCGCTCCACCACGACAACCCTTCGACTCATTCAGACAAAATTTGAAGTTCCTGGCTTGCTTTATTCCAAAATAATAGCCCTCCTCCTCCTCTAGCATCAGCTTATGCGTTTTTACGCTGCAGCCTCGGATGCGTATTCGGCGCTACAGACCACACAGAGTGCTGCATAATCTTAATGCACCGCACCGTATCCCTCTCGCTATTACCATTTACTGCCTCGAACTCCTGACTAGCACCCTTGTTCCTCTCCTCTATTCTGTTCCCAGTTCCCGTCTCAGGAGCTGCATCTGGGCACCCACCAACCATCACCCCTAATCACGCCCAACCCCTCGGAATCTTTCATGCAAATCTGTACGAGCTGCACTTCCTCAATCAATGTAGACCCGCTTATAACAAAGCATTTTGTGATATTTTCAAATTGGTGACACTCGTAGAAATGCAATTCCTGATTAATTTTTTTCCATGCTTTTAACTGATGCCTCACTTGCAGGAATGACTGCCCATGAAAAGTGATGCTGCAGACGCTCCCACACCACCAATTTCCGCAAACTTGTGACAGATGCACTAGAAACTAATTTACGGACGCAATCAAAGAAATTTCCAGCAAATTGTATTTTCTCCCGAAATCCGTTACTGCTGATTGTGAAGAAGCACTGGAAATTAAAAAAGCAGCGCATAAACGTACTTCCAAATGGTTTCTCCAGCAGCCTTTTCTTTTCTCGAAGGTGATAAGAATAATGGTAATGTTATATATAAAATAATAATTAATAACAAGCGAAGATAACGGCGATGTTACAAATAAAACAAACAATTAACAAAAAATAAAGGTAATGTTGAGGGTAATAAAGATAATGGTGATGTTACACATAAATCAATAAATA